AAAAAAAAGACTCAAGGGTTATCCAATGCAAAAATAAAATGTAGATCTCGAAAACTTGACAACCAATAAATTATAATAATAAATGCGCAACACAAAAATATTTTTTCATCGTTGCCGCGAACAAGTGAATTTTTATTCTTCATCCAATTGAGCATGTAGGATGTTGAAAAGAATACATAGTTGACAGATACCACAAGACCTCGACGATTGCGTGGCATGGCCAGACGATGACAACTTGATGTGATACTCGGAGATGACGCTTGACAACAGCGTGACGACTCTCAATGATAGCGCGACGACTCCCAACGGTAGTGCAACGATTGCAAAGACAACACAGACAATTCCAGGCGACGATCCCTACTCCCTGCGATAGCATCTCTTTCTCAATAACCTTTCTCAACTCATGTTATCTCTGTCATTTAACCTACAAATGACAGATGTTAAACACTATAGATGAAAATAAGCCATGTCAAACACATATGTTAAACACTACATATGTGACATCCCTTACTCAAAAAACACTTATAAAACCTTGATAAGTCATGTCAAACAAGACAAAATGTCATTTAACCTGCAGATTTTAAATAATACACCTCAGTACTTAGCAGTGAATAAAACTATGCTCCAAACATATTTATGCACCATCACTAATTTTTCATCTTTTTTTTAGGCAATAAAAGACAAAAGTAATGTCTACTTAAGATTATGAATCAGACTCTGCTTGCTCATCCTTAAGCGACAACAAGTTTTCGGTTACAAGAAAATTACTGGATGAACCCATGAATGAAGATTGTTCGAACACAACTCTCAAATATAGTATGCTTCAGACCACACTTTAGGTTTCTCTTTTGTTGGACAAAGACATACATGGAAATCCAAGCTTGATAGACGTTAGATTCTATGTGAAAGAAAAGAACGACATGGTCCAAATAATAACTGATTTGAAGTAATGATAAACGACCGACCTACAGACGCACACCCGCGACCCGGCAGCCCAGCTCGACCGACACGAGCCCGACGCGCCTAGAACCCACGTGAGTCATTCGTGTCCCAACGACCTGGTTTAACTGAGGAGGCCAAGTCCGGCTGCCTAACAGACTCTGCGGTTCAGATGATCTCCTACAGAGGAAATCAAAAACGTCCTAGAGTGGGCAAAAATTTTAAACGGTAATGTCTTAATCCTAACTATAGATTCCACTACGTTAGGATATATTTTGATAAATTCGAATGTGCATATCGTTGACGTTCATAATAGAACCCAACAGCCTGTCCAGCACCCACGTCTCATAGCCTTTGATTGGCTGGGACCCGATTCCCCCTAGGTCAAGCTAAACACCGACGAATCTTATGACCTACTTACCGGAGCCACCGGAGAAGGGGGCTTGATTCGGGACCACAGTGAAGATCACATTACCGTCTTCCACACCTTTTTTCAGGCCACCTCGTGTTATGATGTGGAGATCCAGACGCTTCAGATCGCAACCTCCATCTCTTCTCACATTTGGATTGAGCTGGTTTGATTCGGATCTTCGAAGATTTCTTTTTTTTTTTTAGATTTTTTTGAATCACTGCCTAGTTATATTTTTATTTTTATATGTTTTAAAAAGAACAATATTCATCAATAATTCATCATATTGAATATTTTATTTTGAAATCAATTTTAGAAGTAACTCTAAATTCTAGTTATTTAATTTTTATATGCTTTAATAAAACCAACATTCATCAATACTTCCTCATATTAAAAATTTTATTTTAAAATCAACTTTAGAAGTAACTTTAAATTTTAGTTATGACTAAATTTGTGCAACTAATATTGAAAATTTAAAATTCAAACAAAATATAATATTTTTTTCTAAAAAATATTCTTTAACCTTTCATATTATTTTAAATAATTATTTTATAATAGAAAAATTCAATTGTAGATCAAGTATTACTAAGCATGAAATTTAAGTAAAAGTTAATAGTTATTATTACTATATTATATAGGATCAAAGGTGACATAAAATATATTAATAACATGTCTAATGTTATAATTCGGTTTTTAATTTTAGTTTTCCGTTCGGTACGGTATGAGATGGTTTGGTTCAGTTCTCGGTACGGATATTTGCGAAATCTTCAGAACCGTACCAATTATTTTTTCGATTCGATTCAGTTCGGAGAAAGTCAAACGATCAACAATTATTTTTTGATTCGAAGTGATTTCGGTTCAGTTTTTGGAACGGTTCGGAATTCTCCGAGTTCCTTGCTCAGCCCTAGGTCACGGAGACCTCTTCCAAAACCAACATCAAAATCAAATATATTCCTATTCCTATTATTATGATCATCAATAAATAAATCCCTTACCCATTCTAATTTTGCTTCACCCATGGGAAACTACTAGCCGTCAGATCCAACGGTCCGTCATCGCCCGTGCAAATCTGAGCCATCTGATCACAAAATCAAGTAAACCGCAAATATTTTTTATCAGCCAAGTATATGTATATCACAAAACAGGCGCACACAGAAATCACAAAATCAAACTTTTACAGTCGCCAAAAGAGGAACTAGGGTTTCAGTTTCCGCCGGAGCCGAGCTGATGCTGCATTGAATCCCATAGATTCTCAAGGTTATACTTCGATAATTTGTTCTTGTTTTCCAATTTTGTGTGTTTTGTTCGTCATTGTTTCGTGCTAATAAATCGTTTTTTTATTTTGTTCTGGTCAATTATTCGATGTGCGAATGTTTACATTGTCATTTTGTTGTTAGAAAAACAAGATCTTTATGCTTGCATCAGTTTCATTGTATTTCAGTTAATTCACTTACGTTTGAGCTTTATCTAACCTAAAGGAAAGATCTTTCTTTTTTCCTTTCGTTTTATTTTTTTATTGCTAGCTTGTACTTGAATATTCGATAAGATACTCGATTGAAATCCGAGGAGGGCTTGTGAGTCTCGACTAAAAGGAGAGGTCAATGTAATCGAACGACCTAACAAACTTTTCGAAGCGCGAGCAAAGTGAGACGCAAAGAACTTTTCAAAGAGAAGTGACATCATAGAAGGCCTCCCCGTCTAGTGTAGTCGGGAACAGATGGGCAATTTGATTCTGTGTTAGCCGTAAGAACAGTGACAAACTGAGTTATGTGCGAAGCAGGGCAACCCTTTCCTGAATAGGCCCCAGTTTCAGTTCCAATTCGAGTGATAAGGGTTGGTCCCGGTATGACTTCTTGCGTTGGGATTATGTGGAAGCATCTCTTGTAGCGGCTGGCACACTTACAAGAAAAAAGAAAATGACTCAAAATCAACAATAGATTGGTAAGGGTCAAGACCTTAGGCAGCTCGCCCCATATAGTTTCGGTCTTGCTAACGGGCGACAAAAGGATGTTCGCCTTCCGCGGGGAAGAGGATACGTATTCTGGTCCTTTCTGAATGTTATACCACCTAACAGTCAAATTGGAACCTTTTTAGTGTAGTTTTTTTTTTTTTTTTTCCTGGTCACATTGGGCAATGTCGTTGTCCAAGATGCAGCTAGTATACCCTCACCATATAATGTCGCCTGTATTTTCTTTTAACCTTGAAATCAAGATTGATAATATTTCTGCTTCTTTATAGTGAGGAAAAATGGAGAAGGAGCTGAGTGAGCTTTTTGAATCTGTGAAGAGGGCCGCAGATGCTGCTGAGAACTCTCCAGGAGAAGAGGATCGGTGCATTGATGCATTAAAACAGCTCAAGAAGTTCCCAGTCAATTATGAAGTTCTTGTGTCCACAAAGGTATATTCAATTGTTTCTCCGTGCTTTTGTTTTTTATTGTTGCTTTTTTTATGAGATGTGCATATTTACATTTCATCTCTCTGACTCTCTTACTCTCTCTCGCTCTGAGTGTATGTGGCTTTGTTAATTGTAATTTCCTTGATATTTATCTTTATATATACCCGTTACACCACAGAACAAGTTATTGGCCACTGAAAATTGCTTTGTTGAAAGTTGGCGCTTTTTATAGTATATTGTTGGGCGGTAAGCACTGTTGTTGTTTTCTTGCATTTTTCATATTTACTGAGATGATTGTTGCGTGAAGGAGATAAATTATTTAAACCATTGCATTTATTCAAGGTTTGATGTAACGAAGTTGCTTGAGATGAAGAGCAAAAAACAGTGCAAGGGCTAAAAAGTGTCTGGATCATGTTTATTTATAAATTATGTGGTTTGAGCCAAGCATTATTTCACATTGGTGCTTTTCAGAACTGTGGTGAAACAGGTCAATGGTTTCGTGCATCATCTGTGCCGATAGCTTCTAACTTATTAGGCCCTTAGAGATTTGATATCTATGCTTCAAAGGCCATGTTTAACTCAAGGAAAATATTGATGGTATCATGCGAGCCTTTAGTGAATTAGTTACTTTCCAGGAAAGATGTTAATTTTGAATGTGATCTATGGCTTCCAATCACATCCAGCCTGATCTTAACTAAAGGGTTCTGACAAGAACCTTTTATAGTAATCTTTAGAGACATCACTCTACAAAGTGAGTGTCTAAACTGAACTATTGTTGAATGTATTGGTTTTTATCACTGTTACGTGTTATTGTTGTTCTCCATGTTCATATGGGTTCGTCAGCTTTCCTCCCCACCATCATTCCTGATGCACAGGTCCAAATTCTTCCGATCTTGAAACTAGGTTTAAACCTTGAGCACCGGGGTTGTTGCTAGCCCTTTCAGCAGTACTTATTATTCTGATGTTCTTTCTATTTAATCACACAAAACACTCCACTTTGTATGTAACATTATTGCAATATTTCTAGTGTTGTTCCCATCTTTTGGGAAATATAATCCTTTCTTTATGGTCTTTCTTCGAGCTTTTAAATTCATTAGCTGGATTTCCCATGCACTTAATAGCATTTTTTCCTTTTCTCTCTCCAAGGTTGGGAAACATCTCCGCCAGCTGACCAAACACAGAAGCGATCGGATCAAGACCTTAGCAACTGATGTGGTCGGGATATGGAAGGGCATAATCGTCAAAGAAACTTCCACAGCCAAGAAAAACGGTGTTACTGACCTCACTGAAACCAACAATACAAAGAACCTCCACAGAACAAACTCCATCAAGGCTGAGCAATCCTCATCAGCCAAGAAACTACAAATAGAGAAAACCACAACCACAACCTCAACCTATAATGCCCACTCGAGCACGTCCACCATCAAAACTGAGACGAAGGTCAAAGTTGAGAAGTCAAATGTGGCGGCGGCCCCACCGAAGCTCACGTCCCTTGTCTATTGCAAGGACGAGCCCCGTGACCGAATTCGGGAACTTCTCGCCGAGGCCCTGTGCAAGGTTCCGGGTGAGGTCGAGCACGATTCGTCCCTCGGGGACCGTGTTGGGAGATGCGATCCTTACAGGGTTGCAGTCATGGTGGAGACTGCCATGTTCGACAAGTGGGGAAGCTCGAAGGGGGCTCAGAAGCACAGGTACCGCTCGATCATGTTCAACATCAAGGACAATAACAACCCGGATTTCCGGAGGAAAGTGCTCGTGGGGGAATTTGAGCCTCGGGCAGTGCCCGACCTGACTCCCGAACAGATGGCGAGCGACGAGCGGCGAGTGGAGAACGAGAAGCTCAAGCAGAAGGCGCTGTTCAACAGCGAGCGGGCGGCGGCCCCAAAGGCAAGCACGAACGAGTTCACGTGCGGGAGGTGCAAGAAGAAGGAGACGACGTATTACCAGATGCAGACTAGGAGTGCAGACGAGCCCATGACGACTTTTGTCACTTGCGTCAACTGCGGGAACCATTGGAAATTCTGTTAGATGTGTAAGAATAAGATCTTTGGATGTGAGCATTGAGGTCTTTCTTTGATTGCTTCAATTTCTCAATGGACCATTTACGTATTTTTATTTTTTATTTTTTTTT